GTTGACTGGTTCATACATTCTGGTTGGAAAGGCTTTACTCTTTCCTTTTATTTTTCGTTTGTCGGATCGAAGAATGGGGGATTGGGGTTACTCCACATTAGCTTCATATAGGTAGATACAGGTATCATAGTATATATTCAACATATGCACAGCTTTACGTTAGGAAAGCAATGTATAGTCTCGTGATTCTAAAAGAAGTTGAAAACAAGCACTAGAGGTAAAACTGTATCCCAGGTCGTCTTTGTTCCTCTGGTTAACGGGCATTCACTTCTTTCATACTCAAAGTCATTTTCCCTAGCCTCGTGTCTAGTTTCATTCTCGTCAACATCGTGAATCAATCCTCACTGAACTTCTACGTTTATCTTTCCTTACCTAGTCTCGTGCCCAGACCCTCCAGCTTACCCTGAGCCAACGTGTGACACTCAGAGTGCTTCCCAGTCTGGCTAGCGCTCCCAAGGAGGATCTTATCCGTTTATCTACTATCTCATTAACCCGAGCCGCGTGCCAACCGGGGCTTGTGCCAACCAGACTAACATACAGCATGGACCTACCGGTAATTGACAGAAGAAAGCTGAACAGAGCTTTTCCCGTGAGAGAAAAGCGCTTTGGCGCAATTAGTAACAATTAGTTGTCTGGTTAGCAATTAGTAGGCACAGCAATTATTAGTAGTCTGGTTGGCCCAGAGCAATTAGTCTCCAAATTTCATATCAAATAGGTTTAGCGTCTGTCTAGTAGTGGTTTAGCCGTAGATGGTTATTACAGAACGAAGCTCGTCAAAGTCGGCCTTGATTTTGCAATGTGATAGGTAGTGCCTATAGGTCCTGGACTACCTATAGCTACAAAATAGTTATAGACTGGTCTGCTTATCCATCCGCGGGGAATTCTGTATTGTGCAATCACGGACTTTTATACCGTAGAAGTTACGCTGCTCTTTCTCCCGTCGTTTTACTGTCACCACAGCCGGCGCTAGATACGCAATTCCGAAACCGTAGTCACAATCCGTTGACTGTTTGGTTCAGCCATGCAAATTTGGGGACTCCTGTTTGGCTATTCAAAATAACATCTGTAGGTCTCAATTCTGAAGCAAGCGATCTGCACACGCTGTCGATCATGAACCTCATTGGAGAGATAAGTGATTATGGACCGCTGTACCAGACTAGGACCGCTGGAGTTATTATTACAGCTTCTATATCGCGTCTATAGCGTATCCTGTTGGATCTGTGATCGGCGCCATTACGACTAAGACGTCCAGAGAAGACCACAATACTTAAGTGTGTTGCGACCTCGATATGTTGGTCATTATCATCACATTATGAGTTTCCCTTAAATTGCTGTCTCCTTTCTTATATTTTCATCCGAGGAGTCTGCTGGGCAGAGAGTTGCTTCGACTAATTCCATTCCTTTCGTGTTTGATATACCACCATAGTATTGGTATGCCAGCATATACAGCAATCTCCATTTAATATATTCGACGAGAAGCTCTTGCGTTTTTCTACGATATCAGACCTGGTCTCGTACCCATAGCTCTCAATCCTGCCAATTCCTGACTTAATTTCCAAATCTCACTCAATATGCCTCTTCCTGCCTACGGAGCTGTTGGGCACGCCTTTGTTGCCTCTCGTACCCTACAAATTCTCATTCTTCTAGTCACAATCGGCTTAACTTCACATTGTATATCCAAATTGGGCAAAGAGACAATTGAAGCTCCGGGCCGCTTGATTGGTAATTTGACAATTGTATGTGACTCCGGATACATACCCTCCTTATTTGATACAATTCACTGACAGAATCGTAATATATAGTCTTGCTTTTGCATTAGTTATGCGGGTATCTCCTTCATTCTCTACATCAAATCTACGCTGCCATTGCTACTTTGCGCTATTTGTGATGGCTGCTTCTTCTTTGCCTTCCTCGCCATTTCCATCCTCTTTGGCGAGAACGTATCAAATCTCTCCTGCCATCCTTCAGACGTCAATATCCCTATCCCTGATAGCATGGATATCATCATTTCTCGCGGCCTCGGGGGGGTCAGCTTCAACGGAAAAGCTGGCATAGTGTCCCGCATTGTGGGAGCGAAGAGCAATCTCCCCACCATTCCACAGAAGCGAGCCCAACCCACATATGCAAGAATGGAGGACATGAGTTTTGGGGAATGGGTGAGAACTAGCCAGAGGAGCTGCGAAATGATGAGAGGTGCTTGGATAGTGGGGCTTGTGATATTGGTGTTATTTTTGGTCAGCATGGGGAGTTTGTTGGGGATGTGGTGTAATTTGAGGAAACAGAGGGAGCAAGAGAGGCAAAATAGGGAGTCTAAGATTGAAGATAATATCCGTTGGGCGGCTTAGAGAGTGGGTTATGGTAGTTTGGGTGGATGCCGTTGGATGGAACTGGTTAACGGGTAAAAAACAAGGGCTATCGCTTGGTATATGCTAATTGCACGGGCGGAACATTTTTGTATATATATGTTCTGGGCCGCTCGCGGGCAGCACATGCCTCCCGCGGGCGCATACCTACTATGCCCCTCGCCGGTAATTTATTTAATTACTGTATTTGGTACATAACGCACTTGAATTTAAAACAATATAGACATATTCAACGGGTTCAAGTTGATCTAATTGATATGCTCTATGAGCCTGAGGGACACTATAAATTGATCGTTGTATGAAAGATTATTATGGTACGTGGTGTTATCTTGCTCTATTAGAATATAAGGTGGTAAGATAAACTCATTAGTATAAGTAATATGATACTAATATTATTAGTCGGAGTCTGTAATGACATTATAGATTCAGCTTTATAGGCCATCTGAAATTTTATAGTCTCATAATGGTGGAGGATTTAAGGGGGAAGTTGAGCATTTATAATGAGCTTGGAGTATTAAAATCAAAGGTAAAATGCAAAAGTTATTGTAAAATTATAGCCTGAATACCACCTTTATGATTTCGAGCCAGCAACTGATCTTATGGGCTTGGACAATGAAATTGTGGATACTCTAGCTGCTCGACATTCGATAATCACTTTAGATAAATGTTTCTCGGCTGGCATTTACAGCAACTCGGGTTTTTATCTAATGTATTTACGTAAAGTTGCGCTGCCGAGCTTTGAAACGCTCACTCTTTTTTCATACCAAAGTGTTAGCAGACCATGACTGCAGTAACCTCTCAGCTCTACGGTAACTAACTATACTTGTTATACTTCTTACCTGATCTGGCTATGGGGTTACTATAGAAGTTCACTGCTGTATTGAGAAATAGGAGACTGCTAGCCGACGGCACAGCACTTCGACACCGAGCTCCCTATATATAAACCCCTACAGTCTCAATATTAGAAGTTGTGTGTACCAAAGTCTCAGAAACCCTTCCATAAAATGTTATTTAAGTAAGTACTAACTAATTTTGCTGTACCATCTAGATCCAGAAATACAACATATCATACACGAGTTTCTCAATGTTTATAATTACTATAATCACAGCATAATTGCAAAAGAAAATTTTTTATATTCCTTGCAGAAAGATGAAGTTAGATTGTACTGTGCATATCCATATCTCAAGTCCCTATACAGCTGCTCATAAGCCTCTGCCCCCCTCCCCCTTTCTTTTACACACCAGGTGGTGTGCATGGCGTAGTGTAATCCATGAGGCTGCATGGATGTTCAGGGTCGCCGCAAGGAAGTGGGAGGTGCTGCAATTGCTAGAAGAAGGAAGAGGGTGGTGCTGAGGAGGAAGGGAGACAGCAACTTTATTTTGTCGAGTTGTGATTATGTGAATGGGAGTTTCGTAGACGGATAGTAAGCTATGAGCGAGGGCTGACTGACTACTAGGGTGTTGTACTTCCGCTATTGGAAAATACAAGTGAGATGGCAGAAGGTGATGGGAGGATTGGGGAAGTTATATAGCTCCCTTAAGCTACAATAGACAAGCTACTACTTTGGACTCAATGCGACGGGGGATAGTTTTACCGAAATCCTAGTTGTTCCATAGCTGCCACAGAATTTTGGTGAAATCACAAGGCACCTGCTATCGAAGGTTACACCATCGCTTTAACATATAACCCGGGCTGCCTACACTTGCAATTAGCCAGCAGGCATCAATGCCGGAATAGAAAGTATCGGAGCTGGGATCGGGGCCTTAACGCCCTACGAACTACAGTCACTGGAAGTCAGGTTCTCGAACCGCTCAAAAAGCACTGACCTAGTCTATATAAATGTACTGGGGCATGGTAGGATAAATTCTCACTATCATCACATAAAGCATGTGGTATATAAGTTCGTGTATGAACGTACGTACTAAATCTAAAGATGATTCTATAATGGGGTTCATGTCTTTCAAAATAACAAAGACATCCAGTTGGTAGGCAGCAAATAATCATTGATATTGTGCTGACTTTCTCTTCACAAAAAAATTATAAAAAATATTCACTTTACCATTGCCTTACCAGATATAAACAAGTTCAAGAACAGTTTGAATATTCCTTCTCGATAACTGTTATCATAGCACAAACATATATAGTTCTGTGACATTAGTCACTTCGCCGACTAAAACGGTTTCACCACTGAAAACCACCAAAGGTTGCTTCTCCAACAATATTCCCCAGAACCCCCCCAAAAAGCACCTGGAGTTGTTAATCAGACGTGGGTTTCTACAGAATATCAATAAATCGGGCGATAGGGCAAATATGCACTTCTGCAGGAGCTATATTAAGTTGACTATCTTGCTATCTCCACTCTCTCCATATTCACTGGCGGCAGTAACATGTAAGATTCAATTCAGAATCAAGCAAATTCATGGGACAACTGTCCATCATGAGTCCCCAAAATTGAAGAAAACTTCACCATCACGTGTAACCATGCACTCACCCTCAAGACTACTTACAGCTTCTGCTTCACAGGTCATCCACCACGAAGCACTCCCTATATATCTCTCGCATAACCACTCATTCGAATATGACAACCTCCAAACTCCCCCCAACTCCCACTTCTTCCCATACCTTTCTATCTACCAGGTCTTATGGCGCAATTGGTTAGCGCGTCCGGCTGTTAAAACATCTTCTCTAAAGTTAAGCCTTTCCTCTGAGGGCATTTGGAATTGAGTTTTGCACCTACCGGGAGGTTGAAAGTTCGAGTCTTTCTAGGACCGCCCGTTGTTTTTTTTTTTTGGTGGGGGCGGACTCCTTTCTTTCTCGTGCCTTTTGAGGAAAACTTCCCTATCACCACCCACCATCACAGCATCTTCATCAAAATATTGCACTTCCCCTCTCCCTATATATACCATCTCTCCGTCCCCTGCATCCCCCCCAACCGCTTTCTTTATACTAACTTCCAAATTTCCCTACTCTAAATCACTCTCAACCCCATACTTGTCTATCTTCTAGGTCTTATGGCGCAATTGGTTAGCGCGTCCGGCTATTAACCACCTTCTCTAAAGTTAGGCCTTCCCTCTGAGGTTATTTGGAATTGAGTTTAGCACCTACCGGGAGGTTGAAAGTTTGAGTTTTTCTAGGACCGCTTCGTTTTGTTTTGTTTTTGGCTCCATTCTTTAATGTTTTCGTATAGGAGCCTAGTGTAATACTTGTTTTTCGACATGAAGTCTCTATTACTGGTAGGTAAAATAGAATAAATAACCTATAGCTACTACAATTAACACTACAGGTGGCTAAATACAACTGTAATCCCTATATAACTGAACTCGTTACTGTGCGCTGGTCGTTTTCTGGTGGGGAATATTGCCGAATCCGGCATGCTAGGTTGGTGCTAGACTCATTTTGGCAGTCCAAGAGTTCTTATTTCGGAAGTCGTCAATCAGAGTTTAAGTATGCATGACGACTTAACTAGACTGCAGCTGATCTTGATTTTTTTCTTCTTGTCGATTATAAGGCTAGAATATAAACATGAGCCAAAAGAAAACACGGGTCTACAAATTAAAGGTAAAATGTTGCGTATCGTAGCACCACGTCGCTGCATTCGTGGATGACGACGAATTCTGTCAGCGGTGACACTAGTAATCGTGAACCTTAAGTACACTCTGGGTACCTACCTGCCGCGAGCATATCAAGGAAATGCAGGACTTGAACGTTAAGCGAAACAAATGACGCATTGCGTATTATCTACCTGCAGTACTTTCATTATATAATAGGGGATTCACTCTATTCCCGCTATCTGAAATATTAATCCGGGTAGGCTTATAACCATATGCATATTTTCTTTGGTTGTTGGTACCCAGTGACCACCCCTTTCCTCTCAATGAGAGTGTAGAAAGAAAGATAACAAATTATCAAGAAGAAACGGGGCAATGGTACATCAAAGTATAGAAACATTATCGTAGATCCCGCACACTAGTCTATGGCTGGCGTGATTCTGGCTTAAATCATGAAGAACCCACCAAGGCCAGCCATGAACAGCGCAATTACCAATCCGGTGAAGCTGACTGGTAAGGCCTCCAAAGTTGTGCTACTACTCTCATCGCTTCTGGAGGTTGAAGTCTCTGTAGCCGATGAGGTTGGAGTACCAGTGACGAGTTCGGTTGTGAAGGGGACTTCGGTGATATACGACGCTGATAAGAAAGCTGGTGGTTGTGTAGACAAGATTGGGTTTGGAGTGAATGTGGTGGTAATTTCACCATGAGCAGGATTTAGGACACTAATTGACATGTTAGTAAAAGGTTCATGCCTGGGATGATGGTGTGGTAACTGTACCCATCAATAATATAAATGATTCCGTTTCCAACCACAATACCTCCCTCCTTCCCGCCAATGATACGTGCACCGTTGACAAACCAGCCACCCTGGTTCTCATTGATAGTAAGCTCACCTCCCTGCACTGAGGCCACTCGGAGATCCTGAGCCTGAGCTCCAGTAATGTCATAGATGGTATGGTTGACAACGTGGTATTTCAATACCTCAGTGAGCTCACTGGTGCTGAGACCAGTGGCAATATTTCCAATGATTTGGAAAGCAGCATTGTTGGGGGCGAAAATGGTGAGCCCAGGAGTATTATCAAATGTCTCAAGCAAGCCAGTCTTGACTAAAGCTCCGGAAAGTGCCGTAAGACCGAAATATGCTGCAGTCTCAGATACAGTGTAAGGCAGATTCAAGACACTGTTTATTGAGAGTTAGATTAAGTTACAGTAATCTACTTATCAGGCCGTACACATACTGGTCAATAATATGAATGACGCCCTGGTTGAACAGAATATCTGCTCTCTCAACTTTTGCGGCTATACCAAGACCACTATAGAAGGTAACAATACCATCATTCCTTCCTAGAATGACCTGAGGTGCGTTATTGGGCAGATTTGCGAACGAGTTGTTCATCAAGAGGGTATCCGCCACTGCTGTATTACCTTGAACAAATAAAGAACTCAAGTATGTACCATTCAAAACATGATAGAATAAGATGGCATCAATGATATCAATACTATTCCCAACGATGGAGGCCGGGTCACGAGCGGTTGTATTTATCCATGTGAGTTCGCCAAAGGCCCCATTTGAAGGAGCCACGATTGTGAGGTTCGTTGGCCAGTTCATGAGAAGATCCAATAAAGCCGGCGTTGCTAGCACAAGATCATTCACCGAGGCAAGCTCAGGTATAGATGAGAGAATAGAGGTAAGATTTGGGGCAGGTGATTGGCCATACACAGCTGTGAAAGCAACTGCAAAGAGGGAAAAAAAGGCTGGTTTAAGCTGCATGGCTGGTATTTAATGAGAGGGATATTTTCAAAGATAATTTGGTATTTGAGAGAAATATAAAGGACTGTAGAAGTGCAAGGTTTTTTTCTCCAGCTGTAAAAGCGAATGTTTAAAATGGGTGAGGCCGTATGGGAGGGTGTGTCGAGGAACTTCAACTTGATGTGAAGTAAGGGAGAAGTGAAAAGCAGGTCAGAATATGGAGCTTTATACAGTCGCCTTCCAAGTCTTTGGTAGGACACAAATTAGCCTAGTCTCAAGCCTCGAGAACACAATATAGGCCAACACGCATAACACGTAGCCGGTGATTTTCATAAGGGATTACCGTATCACAACACCTCCTGTGAAGTCATGTAATATGATACAATGTAACACGAATGTTAATAAACACAGCCTGGAAAACTGGCCAACTTACCTGCCATAAGTGCTCGAATACATGTACTCACTGCCATAATGTCCGTGACTTTCTCACAAAACATAACATATAAGATCGCAAATGTAAAAATGATGATTTTCTAAGAATTGTCAGTTTTAAGATTTGATGCTAGTGCACGTATGTGCCCGTTAGTGATCATGTAGTAAAAATCATTCCAGTATTACCGCACAATCTGAGAAGAAGACCCCACGGGTTTTGGCAGTCTTTAGAATTGCAATACACAAAATGTATTGTCACTTCGAACTCGACATGTACAGTGCACAGCCCGAACGTTAACACCAATGGAGAATACAGGTATCCATTATCAATATCTGAAATTTCTGAAATTTCTGATCTTGTTTTTTTTGGGGGGGAATATCTTAGCGACCAGTTGTACTCTCACGATCTAGATTTGTTACATAGGGACTTTCGCGAGATTGCAATTGTTATCGAAAAGCTTGGGAGGATAGAACTCGGAGACATCACTTGTTCTTTGGGAATTATATTTGGTCAAACCGGATATTGCGCGGGGTGTATTCAGATCTGCAGATCTAGTTGGCATACGCCGGGGGGTTATACATATCTGTATATCCTCACCCTCCTTCCACACTAACTCTCACTCCATCCTTTAAAACTCTTTTTGCAATAGTGAAGCGACAACAAGAAACCCCAAAGGTCAAGTATATATGGATATCTAAAGTACTGTGACTAGAAGACTGCGCATGCAAAATCTAACCTCCCTATTCTACGTAACCCAGAATCTCCCTGTAAAATGTTAAAATTAATAAAAAATTAATCATCTGCAGCATGCCATACCAACTATCAATCCAACTCCCGACCGCGCACGTAACTGAAGGCTCTAACTAAGCAATCCTCTCACAATAATTATCAACGCATCAAATCAAAACATTACACAAGAGTACTATCATGTTCAGTTTTAGAGAATCAGACAACGTTACAACGTTACAACAAAGAACTGTACTATCACGAGAAAGCCTGAAGCATGACCAACCTAGACGCCCCACAACAAAATCTGCACCAAAAAACTACCAAACAATGAAGGAACTTGAAAATAAAAGGTAAAGACAGCAATAGGAAACCCAGCAAGTCCCAACTCCCACCACATCCCTTCACAACACCTCCCCACACTATCACCTCTATCTCCACGGCGCAGGTCTCGTCGCTCCCGCCACCATCCCCAAAGAAGACTGTACCTTAACCGCCTCCCTCACCAATGGTGCCAAACTCGTCCTGCGACCCCCAGCCCCTGGCTCCCCCCTCCCCAAAATCGTAATTCTCCTTGCCCCCTCCCTCTTAAATCCCGTCCCACTCGCCTTCGGACTCAACACCCCATGCCTTGGCTCATGCCCGTGACTCCGCCCACCCGCATTCTCCTTCTCCGGGACCGTCGACATTCTCCTCGCATGTCCAGTCTTAAACTGAACAGTTGTACTGCTATTCTCTGGCGAGGAATGATGCGGGCGAGATCTCCTCGCCCTCGAAGCCGGACCGGACATCCCGCCAGAAGAAACACGGCGCTTAGCTGATGCAGTCGTGAGAGCCGCTTTTGTTGATGAGACAGTTGCTTTCCATGCGCGAGTTACGTCTAAGGTGGTGTTATCTTCCGAGTCTTCGTAGATTGTGGAGGGGCGGAGTTTGTGGCTATTGAGGATACTAGTATCTGCCTCTGACAAAGTGAAATTATTCGGTCGACTTCGCGGGTTGTTGACTGAGGAGGCTAAGGTGCTGCTTACTGTGCCGTTGATGATGGTGTTGGTGTGGCTGTTGCTAGTTGATGTAGGGCGATTATAACTATGTGACGACGGAGGTCGTGTAGGCCGAGGAGGTGAATTATCTCTTTGTTTTGACTTGCTCAGGAATCCCATTTCCATCTTATTATTTCTCCGTGCTGGAGGCTGATCCATTGCGTGACTATGTTTCTCGTGATGTGATTGATAAGGAGACTCTGAATTTGTATTAAAATTTCTTGCTGAAGAATAAGAAGAAGCCAAAGGATGACGATGTGACGTAGCCGCCGAA